ATTAGAACAAGGAGACGGACATAGGATATACAAATTCTGTTAGATCGAAACAGAAAAAAAACCTTATTAAACTCCAATATCTAGTTATTTACGGCCTATAGGACGGAATAGAATTCGCCCGGTCAGCTATACATTCTACTAATATTATAATTGCGAAAGTTTGTGTGTGTATGTTTGTTACTTCTTCACGCTCAAACGGCTGAATCGATTTTGATAAAATTTTGTATACAGGACGCTGACGTCCAGGAATAGTACATAGGCTACTTTACATCCCGGAATTCCGCGGGTATAACCGCGGGACGCAGCTAGTATACTAATTCCGAAATATATATATAACACCAAACATTATCACAAAAAAAACAATTCACATCAGGCCCACGATATAAACACTATAATCACTAAAACTATCATTAAAACGATATATTATTATAAATATAACAATAGTTTTACAACGACGCCAACCCCGCCATATCGAAATGTCAATTCCCCAAGTAACGTTTAACATTTTGAAACGATTTAATTCACAATACATCCGTAATGATGTGGAACTAAGTGTCCAAATATTTATAATTGTTTTTAAAATACTTGTTTAATATATTATTATCCCTACTAATATTATAAATGCGAAAGTAACTCTGTCTGTCTGTTACGCTTTCACGACTAAACCACTGAACTGATTTTAACGAAATTTAGTACAGAGATAGAGTTGACCTTGAGAAAGCACAGGATAGTTTTTATCCCAGACTTTTGAAAGGTTCTCTTGGAAACGCGATATAACCGAACTCCACGCGGGCGAAGCTGCGGGCGGAAAGCTAGTATATTTTATATATGTATTTTTTTTATTTTATGTGTTTTAAGTGAATGTGTTTAATTTATACAGGCAATTAAATTGGTAAATTGTCGATTTTGAATTTATTATCTGATTATATAACCGACTGTTAAAAATGTGGTCTTTTTATTTATTAATATTTAAATTATTTGTATTCGAACTTTAAATAGCAATGTAAGTTTTTTTATTAAAAACTACATAGGTAGTGAAATTCTTCAATTAAGTTTAATAATATATGTAATAAATATATCGACAGTATTAAGGGATGCCATTAAAAAACTGTTATTTTCTCAATACAAAATCTACATAATAAAATAAAACAAATAAATAAGCCTCCCAAATCATAGTAATTAGTAAGATAGGGTAAAAGTGCCGAAAAAACTTGCTATATCTGTGGAAAGGCAGTTGGAACTGCTAAGCATCTGCTGGTGGGATGTAAGGTACTCCTGGACAGCGGTCAATACTCGCGTCGTCACGATAGGGTTCTAGAAGTCATACGTGAAGCGGATAGTCTTTCTTCTTAACTTTGGTTAAGTAAAGAGAGGAGCTTGGACGGTGAGCGTTTAACTCGTTAGATAGGGTCCCTTAAACCTACACCTGGGTCACAAGTCCCAGTCACTGTTGAAGCTCCTCTCACTACAACGATGGACCCGACACACGTACCGTGAATACATGGAATGATGAGAGGTTTCGTCTCATCATAAATTATTAAGCAACCAACATCCCTACTAATATTATAAATGCGAAAGTAACTCTGTCTGTCTGTCTGTTACGCTTTCACGCCTAAACGACTGAACTGATTTGAATGAAATTTGGTACAGAGATAGAGTTGACCTTGAGAAAGAACATAGGATAGTTTTCATCCCAGACTTTTGAAAGGTTCTCTTGAAAACGCGATATAACCGAACTCCACGCGGGCGAAGCTGCGGGCGGAGAGTTAGTATTAAATAATTTTTTATTACAATACCCCAATAAAATAATAATGCTATAATAATCCGTCGCCTATTTCTTAAAAGCTGCTTACACACCAAATCAAACCGGTCAAAACTGGATCAAAGCGGAACATTCCCGCCTATAATAACTGCGAATTACGTAAAACAAGTCTATCAAAATACAATACAAATAACTTCAACTCTATTCTTTTACTATAAGGTCGATATTCGTATGTAATTTGTATTTTAAGCGCATTTTTATTTTGGTCTCATAAAAGCCATATTCAATTTTCGCATCGAGGGGAGATCGGGGCGAACACAACTCTTTTAATTTTGTGAGCTTCTATTGAATGATTTGATTATGGATGATGTTATGCTATATATATTAAATACATTAAAAAAATATTAAAAAAATAATAATGTATATAAAATAATTTTTATCACATATTCAATATTCAACTTGAAGCGTAAAATAATGCATATATACAAAAATATATATATATTTTTCGAAAAATAGCCATTGCGGCATGAAATCGTCCAAGCGCTTTTCATTTTTAGTCTTGAAGCGAAGGTGTGCTTCATAATCTGATTGAAGCTGCCATTACACCGTCTGCTTATAAAAGCTTTTTATATGTCACCCAAGATCAGCTTGTTATGGACATCAAACTTTTATCAAAGAATTTACAACATGTGTACATTTAAGTTAATAAAATGAGACTTAAATCCTGGTTTAATCTTAGTTTTAACGTTTAATTTTAACTATAGGTTAAACTTTCGTCTGTTTAGATTATATAAATATGTGTGTGTGTGTTTGTATGTTATGGAATGTGAAAAAAAATTCACTTTACTTTTTATATACATATATTAATCTCGAAAGATAACAACATTTCTATAAATTTCGATAATTCAATTAGATCTACTCGTAATATTTGTATAACAGTGGATTTTTTTGGAAAAAAGGTTCAAATAATTTCACATTTTACCTACTATACATATAAATAGGGTGAAACCATAACATAACAAACAAGATTAATACGATGAACCCCTTCTAATAAAGAGCAATTACTATAATAATAGCGCACCGCTTTACTTTCACTGTTCTTTGAAATTAAACCTAATATGCTCAATATTTTTTGATTTGATCAAATCCTTTTATAGATACCAAGTTTAATAACTTAAAATTTATCATTAAGTTCCGAGTCATATGCACTTAAGAGTATTTAGACATCACTGACTGATGAAGGAAAACATCGTGAGGAAACATGGACATATCAAATTATAAGTTTGAAATCGCCAACCCGTCTTGAGCGCGCGTAGTGATTAATGCTCAAACCTTCTCCATGTGAGAAGAGGCTCAGCATAGGCTCTGATGGGATGATGATGATGATGTATCTTTATTTATTGTATTCAATTAAATTGCACAATACGTGAGTACAAATAGTTTATGAAGGGAACGCCGATTCAATTGCTGCCGATTTAGCGTATAATAGACACGTGTGTTCATTTATATATATAATTATATTATTTTCGTTATTTAAACGTTTATACAGATAAAAATAACCCTTTTAATAGGGTAAAAGTTTTTAAATTTATTCTTTATGCTAGCATGATGTCGAAATATACTTCTTCTAATTCTACCTGGCAATATCAAAGCTATAGCCAGGGTCTGCCTTAAATGTTGGAATAGTTTTGTATTTGTTTTTCAACCGGCCGCCTGCCTGACATCAACCCTCTTTGGGAATGCATTAATCATTGATGTCTAAATACTATTATAAAGTACATATAACTCGGAAAAATCACATTGGTACTTGCCAGGATCGAACGCGCGCCATCATGCATGAGAGGCGGGCCTTTTAACCACTAGGCTCTTTTAACCATTCTCTCTCTCCATTTCCTCAGGCAAAGCTTTTCAGTATTGAATAGTATTTGTCTAATATTTTCTATTGATTATTATATCTAATATTAATTAAACGTTGTATATTTAATATGTTTTCTTTAATTAAGTATAGTTTAGCGAATTATACAATATCTTGTTAAAAATTCACAGAATTAATAATAATTTTAACCTACCGTCATATATAACTTGACTACCTTCAAAAAAATATTGTTTCACTGCTCAGCCTTTGTTATGTTCTTTTTAATTATTATATATATAACTAGCTTTCCGCCCGCAGCTTCGCCCGCGTGGAGTTGGGTTATATCGCGTTTCCAAGGGAACCTTTCAAAATCTGGGATAACAACTATCCTATGTTTTTTCTTAAAGTCAACTCTATATCTGTACCAAATTTAATTAAAATCAGTTCAGTGGTTTAGGCGTGAAAGCGTAACAGACAAACAGACAGAGTTACTTTCGCATTTATAATATTAGTAGGGTTTGTTTTTTAAATGTATTTAATGCAATATTATTATTACTCGTCATACACTCGTTCAGTTTACCTTATATAGATATAGATATAGATTATATAGATACAAAATAAAAAAAAATTCATTTAATTGTGTAAATAAGAAAATCTTAGGTATTAAATGAGTAATTTTCCAAAATATTACCAATTTTCTTTATCATCATATAAGGTTTTTTATATCAAATGTATTAAAATTTGGGGATTTTGATGGTATTACTCTTGTTGTTGTTGTTCCAGGATTCTTGTCATAATTATATATATGTATTATTTTTATTATATATTTATGAGGAGTGAAGAAGAAAGAAGACCTGACTCATTCTATCACTCAACATATAATACTTCACAAAATTTTTTCACGTAATCTAACTTAAGGAGTGAAAAAAAATACAAATATATATGAATCTTATTTATTGAGCACTTTTATTTTAATATTTACAAAATATCATTTTTTTTTTGGTTTCCATATCAACGATTATACATAACGGACAAATAAAAAATATCAATAAAAGGAGGTATTTGAAAAAAAATTTTTTTTTGAACTACCCCCAAAAAAATTTATATAGTCAACTTTTAGAACGCTATGCACATACATTTACAAAAGAAAATCGACACGTGTACACTAATCGTTAATTTAATTCCTATTGCTTTCGATCTAAACTAAAAAAATATCTTATATATAACTTAAATTAATATATTTTATTCGACTAACTTACATATGCTATACACTTAAATGAGATCGGTATTATAAAATTAATAACGAAAATAACTCGAAACAACAGAAGAATAACTCAAAATAACTCTAAACAACAGAATAATAACTCAAAATAACTATTTTATTTACGTGTTGTAATGGGTATAGGTTTCTCCTACGATGTCGACATCGCTGTCACTATGTTCACTCTCTGAATCTGATGTTTGAGTTGTTGAAATTCTCGATTCCTCCTGTATTAAAACATAATAAATGTAATTATTATTTAGTTTTTCACAAAATTAATCATATATACATATTAAATAACTCTTTATGATTAAAATCATACTTATATGAAACTAATACTTTTCGGATCATAGGTAAGTGTATTTTATTATTGTAAAAAATACAAAAACAAGGAACAGATATATAGTACGTGCGTCCCATAGAATATATAACCAAGGATAGAAAGTATTATTTTCACCTCAGATAAAATGGATAAAATCCGAATATTTCAGCCTAGGCAGGATAAAAAGCAATTTAAATACAAGCTTCAAATATTCCTATGGTGGCTAAATTCCTCTTCAAAGGCGAATCACTTCAATACTTCACTATATGCCAAACAAAAACTTATGTGTTTTTACATATTATTACCTTTAAACTATATTTTTAATCTATTATATATATAAAAATCGTGTTAGTTACTCTATTTATAATTCAAGAACGGCTGTACGGATATGGATGAAAATTGGTGGAGAGATAGATTAGAACAAGGAGACGGACATAGGATATTTAATTCTGTTCGATCAAAAAAAAAACTTAATAAACTCCAACATCTGGTTAATTACGTCCTCTAGGGCGGCATAGAGTTTTACCTGTCAGCTATACATATATTGCTTATTCCGAAATTAACGCGGACGAAGTCGCTGGCAAAAACTAGTATATTAATAATTCAGTATGATAAAGTTTATCCACATACTACCTTCCGTTCTGGCTGTGGGTGTTTGGTTGTGAAATTCATCGCCACTGCTCCTGGGAAAGAGAAAAATACATATATATGATAATAATATTTAATATAATCTATACATCTATACATATAATAAAATTGTAGAAAAGTGCTGTCTGTACATTGAAAATAAAAATAAAAAAAATAGCAGGGGTTATTGTTATGTCGATGTCGAACCCAAAAATGTAATTAACTTTTTTTTTGGCTGTTTGTCTGTTCCCGCTAATCTCAGAAACGGCTGATCCGAGTTGGATGCGGTTTTCACGAATATATTGTGGTATGCTTCAATTATGCTTTAGTGTTTGTTTCATGTCAATCGGTTCATAAATAAAAAAGTTATGTCAAAAAAAGTTGCTCATAGTCACTATTCCACTAGAACGAAGTCGCGGGCAAAGCTAGTATTTAATATACGTATAAATTAACAGTTATATTAAATACTTGACGATCTTATTGTTTCAAATCTCTTCAGACAATGACACGTAAAATATGAAATATTTAAATGAAACTAATATTTTTCGTATTACTACGCGTATTTTATTATTATAAACTACATACTCCCGACGTTTCGGTTACTTTACAGCAACCGTGATCATTAAGACGAGATGTCATCAGCAAGAAACTAATACTCGTATTAATCCGAATAATATTAGTTTCATTTAAATGAATACTTTAGAAAGTCTTAGATATAAATATATGAAACATTGAATTGACGTATATAAATGAAAACAGACAAAATAAGTGAATTAAAATAGTTTATAAATCATGACTTAAATGTAAATGATGCATAGTAAATCTTATATACACTAGGAAGATAAAACATATATGTATATAACAGAAAGTCATGTTAGTTACACTATTTATAACTCAAGAACGACTGTACGGATATGGTTGAACATTGGTGGAGACATAGATTAGAACAAGGAGACGGACATAGGATATATAATTCTGTTCGATAAAGAAAAAAATACTTAATAAACTCCAATATATGGTTATATATGTCCTCTAGGATGGAATAGAGTTCGTCCGGTCAGCTATACAAATATTACTAATGCCGAAATTAACGCGGACGAAGTCTCGAGCAAAAAACTAGCAAGTAATAATAACGAACAATAATGTTCTTTACTATAAAAATCTTAATAAAATTCTACTTAGATACAATAAAATACGTTATATTTGTGTCCGTTTAATTAAAAATTTATTAACGAACTTAATAATATTAAATCTCTAAAATATTGTTTATATTTAAATTTACATTTAGTTATGACCTCTTTCTTCAAACTGTATTAAAAATGTATAAAAAAAAAAATAAAATTTAAACTCAGAACACTAATAATACAACGGACAAATTAAATAAGATTCTTCTTGTAATCTTCTAACAGGTACATTATATTATATAAATTTTATAATATTAATAAAATGTCCTGTTACAATACTCCCCAACATTCATAATTTTAAAACACTAATTAAATCAACGTAGACTTATTAAATATAATTTTCAATTATTCTCCTTAATACAAGGCAATTAAGTGCATTCTCGTATACAATTTATCATCCAACAACTTACTCCCATTTAAGACATCAAAAGCAATCAGCGGCTATACAAATTTGAACCTTAGTGTACGGTAATAGAGTTTCGGCTGGTTGGCACGGAATTCCAAGACGTTCCGTTGCCATGGCAACCGAGACAGCCATCTTGGATCCCTAATGGAATTACGGAGCGTCTTGAGTTGTGGCGCGAAAGCGGCGATTGCAAATTTAATTTGAGCGTCTTTGAGGTTTGTGTGTGATCTATGTGTGTGTGTGTGTGTGTGTGTGTGTGTGTGTGTGTGTGTGTGTGTGTGTGTGTGTGTGACTTACTTGTATGTGTGTGTGCTCAAATATACATATATGTATATATATATATATATATATATATATATATATATATATATACATATTAAATGAAATGATACTTTTTAAATGTACGATTAATTTCTTTGTCTCCGTGTAAAATAATTTTTGTATTCTTATTTCTTCGTTGTGATCACGGTTGCTGAAAAGTAACCGAAACGTCGGGAGTATATAATTAAGATATTAATACGCGTAGTTTACTAAAAATATTAGTTTCATTAAAATGAATACTCGTAAAATTCTTAGATGTCTTAATTATTGTGTTATTTGAAATTTTAATTATAAAATATTAAGTTTGAAGTAAAACTTAAATAATATCTATAGAAAAACAAATATATTAGAATCTCACATTAAAAAACTACTACTTTAACTACTATCTTCTTTATGCATTGTATACTGAGACATATATATTATATAGTATATATATATAACATATATATTATATAAAAACACATATTGCCGTCGGTAATGAAATTTTAATTGTCTCTTTATGTCCTACCAACAATTATGCGACAAAACATAAAAATGAGGGAAAATATACAAAAATAGGAAATTAATATCTGTTACTAAATCTATAGTCGAAATTCAGTATAGAAATACCAAAAAAACTAAAAGAATTAAAGCAACTGCATCTAAAATAGTCTAAAATCAAAAAAAATATTTACGTCATAAAATGTGAAGTCCTAAAATTTTATATTTTGCATAAGACAAACAAAATACAAATTTGATGACCAGTGTTATTTAGCATAATAATTATATATTACTACAAGATTATTGGCGAACTACATACTTTCAGTCAGCAGTATTTCGTAATAATAGATACATGAATGAAAATTGAATAATCATTTATTATTTTAACGATACGGTAATTATACGATATTGGGAAATTTATTAGAAATATATTGATAATACATATTTTAATATTTGTAAGTCAGTGGTGGCCTAGTGGTTAAGAGGCCCGCCTCTCATACACGAGGGCGCGGGTTCGATCCTGGCAAGTACCAATGTGATTTTTTCGAGTCATATGTACTTTCTAAGAGTATTTAGACATCACTGATTAATGCATTCCCAAAGAAGGTTGACGTCAGGCGGCCGGTTGTTAAAACAATTAGCCAAAACTATTCACAACATGTATGGCAGACGCTGGCAAAAGCTGGGAAATTGCCAGGTAGAAAAAGAAGATATTTTAATATTTGTAGCCTTAGTACATTTTCATTCAAACCAACGTTAATACAATAATGTATTACGAAAGAAAAAAATTGTTTACGACATTTTTATACATACGATTATAATTATATCAATCTATATATTATTTTGTTATAAGCTTTTATTTTATAAACCAAAAGGAGCAAATAGGACACCCTACTTGATGTAGGGTAGTCACTTTCGCTTCTGGATAAGAAATATTGTAGATCTTCTTACGTACTCGGTACATATGAGGAAATAAATGAACATCGCCGGGGCAACATCGTTGTATGTATAATATACAACTCTTGACGCCGCTGACTCCGCGGAACGAACACCAAGCCGTGTGAACCAGAAGATTCCTGATACACACAAGCTATGGAATGGTATTGCTATCCTAACATCGGGGCAATCATGTAGTCTTAGGTGTAGGTTATAAGTTTTAATATGTAGTTCCTATTATAATATACGTATAAGTAAGTTTCGTAGTTATCCTGGAACCTCTGGTTGCCAATCTATATCTATGTGGTTATTCCCAACCAAATAAGTTACATACCAGACTAGTTTGCTTTTGTAACTAACTCAAACGAAGATGGCAACTACCTAACTACTAACATTGTTGTTAGTAAAGGAATTTCTAACTAATTATTATCGAAACTTCGCCTGTTTCACATACATATGTGTAATCACACTAAAATATAATTTTAAGGTAAGTAAATAAAAACATTAAATGACAGGTTTGCAAATAGAAGAATAATATTATTAATAAAAAAAATCTTAAGTAACTTTCGTTTTTATATATATCCCTACTAATATTATAAATGCGTAGTAACTCTGTCTGTCTGTCTGTTACGCTTTCACGCCTAAACCACTGAATTGATTTTAATGAAATTTGGTACAGACATAGAGTTGATCTTGAGCAAGAACATAGGATAGTTTTTATCCCAGACTTTTGAAAGGTTATCTTGGAAACGCGATATAACCGAACTCTACGGGCGGAAAGCTAGTTAGTGATAAATTAAACGCTTCCTCCTAAATTCTAAATCTCATTATCTAAGACAACAATTTTTCAGTTCTTGAACATTTCATTTTCAAAATTCAAACTCCAAACATACTTTGCATAAATATTACTCTCTAAAATTGTAACTGTTTCACTTTTAATTTATGTGTTTTTTTGTAGAAGTAATTTAATTTAGTTAGATTAAGGTGTTGTTATTATAAAACTTTCTAGACAGTGCTGTGAATACCTGTAATAGATAAGAAGAACTATACTTTTGACTGTATTTTTGTGTAAATGTTACATATGTACTGTTGGTTTTCCTAAGTTAATAAATAATATCCTAACTGCTGCAACTCCTAGGTTAGGTTTAAATATCTTTATACTCAACAAGAAAATACATAGTCACTTATTTGAGAACATTACTGACTTAAACACATAACTTTGATAACATTCGTCACACCAAATTTTACTTAATTTGTAGTCATCAGCCTATCAACGCCCACTGCTGAGCATAGCCTCTTCTCATATGGAGAAGGTTTTTGATCATTAATCACCACGCTTGCTCAAGACGGGTTGGTGATTTCAAACTTATAATTGTGAAACTATAAGTCCAGGTTTCCTCACGATGTTTTCCTTCACCGTATGTCAGTGGTGTCTAAATAATCTCAGAAATTACATATGACTTCGAAAAATCACATTGGTACTTGCCAGGTTTGAACCCGCGCCCTCGGCAACGAGAGGCGGACCCTTTAACCACTAGGCCACCACTGACTTAATTTGTAGTGGTTAGTACGAAATTAATAAGAGAATAAGGGAAAGGAAAGCGCATCCACTGTATGCGTTATTTAACTCCTACCTCGCTGCTGTTGCTGTTTCCTCATCTGCTTCTTGTGCTTCATCCGTCTGTTCTGGAACCAGGTCTTCACTTGTGTCTCCGAAAGATTTAGGGCTCCGGCCAGCTCAACCCTTTCTGGCGTTGAAAGGTAGCGCTGGGATTCAAAACGCTTTTCCAGACCTTATGAAAGAAAAACATATATATTACTTAAAGACGAAAGACGAAGAAATATCTGTTACGTTTCTTCATTTATATTTTCGGAGTTTACCTGTAAGCCATAAATCTCCGTGTTTTGAAGTGCGACAGAATGATTGACACATTAGTTAGTTGTCAAATCTATTGAAAAAAAAAAACGTTTGTATGGGAAATAGCAAAGGGCTGTTTTTATGGTTTTCCCAGTAATGAATCAATTTTTTTTAAATTTTAAACCTTCCCTAAACCTCCACAAATATTTTAAGACTTAGATAAGATAAATCCGTTCGGCCGTTCTCGAGTTTTAGTGAGACTAAAGAACAGCAATTCATTTTCATATATATAGAAGATTGGACATGGAATTCAACAATATTAGTTCCTATATTTTTGACAGCTAATGATTTATTTATTTAGGCACACAAACAGAATTACAATCCAATTACATTTGAGTTACAGTCTAAAATTATTTTTAGCTTGACTATATTCCAAATCATGTATACACAGCATAATCATTACAAAAACAATATTTTTGTCGGGTGCTACATTATTTAGGTACAATTTCAGTCTAATGAATAAATAGGAACATATAAATTAAATTCAATTACTTAGTTATTGATACAAAAGAAAATATAGCGCCTTTTGTTACCTTTTGTGATTGTAAAACTTAATTTTGCTTATAAAAACTATAAATCAAGCTGCAAATATTCTTTATTTCATAAATTCCTACATGAATATCACTAAGAATAGGTTCGACGTAGATTTGTACGCGGTAGAGGTGGGAGCGAGAGGTATAACAGCTAAATCTCTCTACAACCTACTGAAAGACTTGGGCTTGTCCAGAACTCACATTAATACATTCTTGGAACGTATATCGAAGGCAGCCCTAGTAGGTTCTTTTCAAATGTGGTAGAGAGAGGAGCTTGTACGGTGGAGGTGATCGTTTAACGCGTTAGATAGGGTCCCTTAAACCTACACCTGGGTCACAAGTCCCAGTCACTGTTGAAGCTCCTCTCACTACAACGATGGACCCGACACACGCACCGTGAATACATTGAATGATGAGAGGTTTCGTCTCTCTATATATATTAAACCTACACCTGGGTCACAAGTCCCAGTCACTGTTGAAGCTCCTCTCACTACAACGATGGACCCGACACACGCACCGTGAATACATTGAATGATGAGAGGTTTCGTCTCTCTATATATATTAAACCTACACCTGGGTCACAAGTCACAGTCACTGTTGAAGCTCCTCTCACTACAACGATGGACCCGACACACGCACCGTGAATACATGGAATGATGAGAGGTTTCGTCTCTCTATATATATTAAACCTACACCTGGGTCACAAGTCCCAGTCACTGTTGAAGCTCCTCTCACTACAACGATGGACCCGACACACGCACCGTGAATACATTGAATGATGAGAGGATTCGTCTCTCTATATATATTAAACCTACACCTGGGTCACAAGTCCCAGTCACTGTTGAAGCTCCTCTCACTACAACGATGGACCCGACACACGCACCGTGAATACATTGAATGATGAGAGGATTCGTCTCTTAGTATTGGAAAGATTATACAGTTCTGCCTGTAAGATACGTGAGAGTAACTTTTTATTTTAATATTCCTAATTTTATGAGAAAAATAACTAAAAAACAATAATTGGTAGTGTGTGTCTATTACTTTATGATAAATAGTGTAACGCCTAAATCGGTTTTAGTGTGGTTTTCATTAACATATAGCTATACCATATCAAATTTAATATTATATATATCTACCCAATACGTTGTCGAATCTAAAAAGCTGAAATTGTTTTAGTGAATTTTAGTATAAAGATAGATGAAAACTTTGAAATAAACGGCGGATTTTCACGCGATATCCAATCCATTGGAAGTAATTTCCCATACCCTTGACTTTACATGTATATAAAAGTTTTATCTACATCAGCACAGCATTTAGAAACGTACCTTAAAGTTACAGTAATATTATTATTAATATATATTTAATTACGTACCGATGTTTAAGAGAAACTACATTTATATATGAATTCGGAAATAATAAATTTTTGTATCATTATACATATTAAAACATTTTATAATTATCTTTACCATAAGTAGATATTAAACTACATACTCACAGTTTCCCGTTTTTTCATTAATAAAACGTCACACGATAGTTTCAATGTAGTAAGATGAAAAACTGAGTGCTTAGTCCAAGTTGTCATCGTCACTACATAAACGTTAACAGTTTTTCAATACATTAAAACTTGGATGACGACGATGAAACTGGCAGTATTTAGTTGTCATGTCATGTCATGTCATCATCCTATCAGAGCCCACTGCTGAGCCTCTTCTCACATGGAGAAGGTTTGAGCATTAATCACCACGCTCGCTCAAGACGGGTTCGTGATTTCAAACTTATAATTGTGAAACTATAAGTCCAGGTTTCCTCACGATGTTTTCCTTCACCGTATGTCAGTGATGTCTAAATACTCTCAGAAAGTACATATGACTCCGAAAAATCACATTGGTACGTGCCAAGGTTTGAACCCGCGCCCTCGGCAACGAGAGACGGACCCCTTAACCACTAGGCCACCACTGACTATTTAGTTAATGCAAACTAATAATAAGAATACAGGTAAGCAAAAATGGCCATCATTTTAAAGAAAACCTATATTGATCTGGTTTTAATCCTTTTAGAAACTGTCATAAATTATTAAAAAAACAGTGACGAAAGTGGCATTTAATCTTGTATTGTAAGTGGAATATTTGTACTCCTACGTATTGTAATTTCAATAATGAAGATGGCTTGAGTTCATCTAATTCCCGGAACTAATTTATCAATAACTTTCCGCCCGCAGCTTCGCCCGCGTGGAGTTCAGTTATATCGCGTTTCCAAGAGAACCTTTCAAAAGTCTGTGATAAACTATCCTATGTTCTTTCTCAAGGTCAACTCTATATCTGTACCGAATTTCATTAAAATCAGTTCAGTGGTTTACGCGTGAAAGCGAAACAGACAGACAGACAGACAGAGTTACTTTCGCATTTATAATATTAGGAGGCATATAAATTCCTTCGTCTTGACGAAACTATAAGCTCAAAATACAGCATATGTTTTATCTCACCATCTTATTTTTCACAGAATGCTCTATTTTACTTCTATGATTAAGGTATGTATGGTAAGCGTTTGTATAGTATGTTTCGTAAGTACATATAGCGCGCATATTTCAGTAACCTTTATGCTGCACGGTTTTCCTTGATATATTTCCGTTGCCAATGTGATATGAACGAATACATAAATTGAAAATTTAACTATAAACAAATTTGTTTTAAGATTATTTTATTGTTTAACAGGGTAGGGACAGTCGGCTCTTCGAGATAATATATCTTATTTTCGTCATGGTTTGAAATTAAAACTTTAATTTTAATAATATTGATATCACTAATGTTAAATCGAAATAGAGACCAAACCTCTCATCATTCCATGTATTCACGGTGCGTGCGTGTGTCGGGTCCATCGTTGTAGTGAGAGGAGCTTCAACAGTGACTGTGACTTGTGACCCAGGTGTAGGTTTAAGGGACCCACAATAATTTATCATCTCATTTAATAACAACTGGTAATGAAGTTTTAGATAATGAACGCTGTCAGTAAAAGAATATTGATTCTTGCCTTAAAGAAATTCAAATTTCAACAAAAGTAAACACAGATGCTAAAACTAGTTATGTCAATTATTTTATAAATCATTACCTCATTCTATGTATATAATGCTATCGCATTTGGGTAAAATATATACAATTTACCTGTATATTATGTATATTACCTAAATAAGTAAAATTACCTGTTAATTGTGGGTCAGAGAAGACTGTTCTCGCTTTTCGCCGGCGGCAATGCTTCAACGCTGACAGCGAAAGTTCTGATGGTGTGAACAACGCGTGGTAAGGGACTCCTGCTGACAAGAAATATACACATACAGACACACACACACACACACAAGTGGTGGCCTAGTGGTTAAAGGGCCCGCCTCTCGTTGCCGAGGGCGCGGGTTCGATCCTGGCCCTGGCAAGTACCAATGTGATTTTTCCGACTCATATGCACTTTCTAAGAACATTTAGACATCACTGATTAATGCTGATTCCCAAAAGAGGGTTGACGTCAGGCAGGCGGCCGGTCGTAAAAACAATTAGCCAAAACTATTAACAAACATGTAAGGCAGACCCTGGCTAAAGCTGGGAAATTGCCAGGTAGAAGAAGATATACTGAGATATAACAAGACCAAGACAGACATTCTCATCTCGTCTGTCAGTGATCACGGATGCATACTAACCAAAACGTCGGGATTATGTAGTTTAAAATAATAAAATAACGCCTCATAATCCGAAATATTAGTTTTATTTATATATACATATATATGTATATGGAAATTACATATATTTCGGCGTGATTGGAACCCGTAATAGCCAGTATATTGAGACCCAGTCATTTTGTATACTAAGCTATCGTGACTTCATACAATAGTAAGATATTCTTTATGTATTTATCATCACGAATTAATAACTAGAAGTGTAGAAGTCATGTAATAGATTCTCTGAATCACAACTATACAAGGCTTTTAGTTCACTTAATAAAAATGTATAATTCAAGATCATCAGCCTATCAGAGCCCACTGCTGAGCCTCTTCTCACATGGAAAAGGTTTGAGCATTAATCACCACGCTCGCTCAAGACGGGTTGGTGATTTCAAACTTACAACTTGATATAAGTCCAGGTTTCCTCACGTTGTTTTCCTTCATTTCAGTGATGTCTAAATACTCTTAAGTACATATGACTCAGAACAATCACATTGGTACTTACCAGGATCGAACCCGCGCCCTCATGTAGGAGGCAGGCCTTTAACATCTAGGACACCACGACTAATTCAAAATAAACAATAATTATTATGAACTTTATAAAAACGTCTCCTATCGTATGCTTAGTCCGAGTTTGAATCGTTACTACATACGTAGCGTTAACAGTTTTTCATCACCATCATATTGTAGTATTAACGTAGGTTATTCAATGGTAAACAGAAATAATAAAGTATGTGACGATAAAACTTGCGTTACACGGTATTTTGTAAAAGGTAGCTTTTACTAATGCCGTAAGATTTTTGACGATTAATACTATCTTAATATAAGGTTCCATTCGCACTGGAATCGTGGATTTTCTAATAAAACCGTTTTTATTTGTTGAATTGAATTATCTTAAGTATCTACTGTGTGGAGGAAATATATTTTGCTGATGTCAACATTTTCATTTGTTGGACGAATTATAGTCAGTGGTGGCCTAGTGGTTAAAGGGCCCGCCTCTCGTTGCCGAGGGCGCGGGTTCGATCCTGGCCGGGGCAAGTACCAATGTGATTTTTCCGAGTCATATGTACTTTCTAAGAGTATTTAGATATCACTGATTAATGTTGATCCCCAAAAGAGGGTTGATGTCAGGCAGGCGGCCGGTAATAAAAACCAATATACAAAACTATTCACAAACATGTAAGGCAGACCCTGGCTATAGCTGGGAAATTGCCAGGTAGAAGGAAGGACGAATTATAATCTTGAGTACTGTATGGAAACACGATGTTCGTCGAATGGAATTTAAACGTTTATCCAATTATTATTATTATCTGAAAATGACTGGTTATATTTCTACCAGCAATTAGATCTTAAATTCATGCGATGGTATAGGTATACCTACTTATTTGTTGTTACTTTGTTATTTAAGAAGTATTTCTTCATTTGTAACAAACTTTTGTTAAATATCTCATAAACTTCATTTAACTCTCTACTATTTTTAGTATAACATTAATGTGTCAATTAAAATAGTATTTTTATAAACAATTATTGCTTAGAAAACATTAATTTATATCTTCTTCTTCTACCTGGCAATTTCCCGGCTATAGCCAGGGTCTGCCTTACATGTTTGTGAATGGTTTTGGCTAACTGTTTTTTACGACCAGCCGCCTGACTGACATCAACCCTCTTTGAGAATGCATTAATCAGTGATATCTAAATATTCTTAGAAAGTACATATGACTCGGAAAAATTATATTGGTACTTGCCCGGGCCAGGATCGAACCCGCGCTTATTTATATATTTATATAATTTACGTCCTAATATTGAAAATATACGAAAGTAGCTGACCTGGCGTACTTCGTACCGCCCTATAATCAAGAAATATCTGTTAATTTTTTATCTCAATGAAGTTAATTTCTTTATTAAGTACAACTGACTCGACAGACAATGTTCTGTCTTATTAACTGTGATTATTGAATTCTAACTGCTATATTAATCAATTAAAAATATTCCAAAAACAAAGTGTTTATTATTCTAATGCTTTATTCTAACTACGTGAATATTACTGCGAGTGACACATTAATTTATTAAAAAAGTGAAATATATTAGTTATTTATTTTTCTAGTAAATTTCGTAATTTTCTTACATAATCTTCTCCTAATAATAACAAATACAATTAAATAAGAATTAGTGAAATTAAAACCATTTACGTGTGTTGCCGTGACCAAGAGATTTATTCCTTGTAAAATCTCTTGTTTCGTTAAAATATGGTCTCTTGACAAATTCCTACAGTATTCGATAAGTTTATGTACTATATACATATGTATATTCTTTAGTCCTTTAAACGGCTGCCGCAATGTTAGATAAGTAGATTTTCAAAAGCAAAATGTATATGAAAATCAATATACACGACCAAAGATATAAGTCAGTGGTGGCCTAGTAGTTAAGGGCCTCGCCTCTCGTTGCCGAAGGCGCGGGTTCAAACCTGGCAAGTACCAATGTGATTTTTCGGAGTCATATGTACTTTCTGAGAGTATTTAGACATCACTGACATATTGTGAAGGAAAACATCGTGAGGAAACCTGGACTTATAGTTTCACAATTATAAGTTTGAAATCACCAACCCGTCTTGAGCAAGCGTGGTGATTAATGCTCAAACCTTCTCCATGTGAGAAAGAGGCCTTTGCTCAGCAGTGGGCGTGTGATAGGCTGATGATGATGATGATGACCAAATATACAAACATTCAAAACTGTAACTCTTATAATATAGTGATATATACATATATATACGTGGGTAACACTGAAAATGTTTGTAACTGGTTCGTTAAAAACATTACTACTGAAAACTTTTTTTAATAAAAATTTTATAACTCTTACGTAAATATAGTATATTGCATTAATTTGTCATTTATTTTTTGAATTAGTTGCTAATCTAAATCTTGTTTCTTTTTAAAATTAAACTAAGGCTAGAAAATTTACTGTCAATATTTTATTATGACTTTCGTTGTAGGTTTAAACAACATAGCTATGATAGGCTGAGATTAGTATTTCTTAATGAAACCCTATTTCGTTCTACTATTTATAATTGGTTTAATGATGATGATGATGACCACGTGAGGGACGTCCTTTAACTACTACTGATGATAAAATCAGTGCTGTGCGATGATAGAGGGAAATAAGAAAGATAAGAAACCTAGCAGCAGACCTGTATACGAGTCAAGTTAAAAAAGTATTACACGAACATATAGGCATCAAAAAGCTTTGTACCAGATGAATTCCCAATACTTTATCCAACGATTAAAACTTTCCCATGGATTGGTGTGAAAAATATTGATAAGTTCAACGGTGTTGACTTAAATGATATATTTGTCATCGTCACAGGTAATTAATGATTGATATATTATTACGAACCAAAAACAAAAGACTATCAATTCAGTGGGTTATTTCTTTTGAGGATCGGGTAACTAAAGAACTATTAAGGAACGCTTGTGTGCAAAAGGTTACTATACAATTAATGAGTTTATGTACGATAGCACACCTTGGGAATGAAACGATCGCCTCCTGGCTAATTCATCTCATATTATATAATATATGAGACAAATATAAATAAATAAAAAAACCCGCTGAGTTTCTTTCGCCGGTTCTTCTAGGGTCAGGGTATTTTTTCCGAACCGGTGGTAGTGTCTCAAGTGACCATCAATAAGAAAGTGTAATGCTTCTATATTGAATAAAGTTATTTGAGTTTGAGTAAGGTAAAGAAAGATGTCAAGGTAAAAATATGATTGCGTCATTATTTGGTCGGAAAGGTTTTTCGCGATTGTTGTGCTAGAAGATAGAAGTACAGTTACTGCGAAATGATGTATTAATAGCTATTTGCCTGTTGTCTTAAGAATTCTACAGCAGTTTCCTCGAAGCAGGATCCTTCTTCATCACGACAATTCTTGCAAAGCAAAACGGACTCTTTAAAATCTGACTATAGCGGGTGTTGAAATAATGAAGCATACGCCGTATAATGTTGATCTAGCACACTGCGAAGTTTATTTATTACAAAAAATTTAAGATAAAATTCGAGGCATTTCTAGCACTGATTACGCGGTGAAAACGAAAGAAAATGCCATAGAAGATACCCCTAAGGAAGAATCGATCCACTGCTTTTCTAAGTTATTCCATCGAATGCCACCATGTGTAGAGAGGAACGGAGATAACTTCAGAAAACAATAAAAGTATTTGCAACTACCTATATTAAAACATTTTTCAATTTAATTGATTCATTGCCTTAATGATTAATCGTTGTTGATAAAACCAATATTTAAATAAAATGTTTTTGATTAATTTTTATATTTAGTTTAATCACTACAGCATTTTAGTTTTTTTCTATAGAAGAAAATATAACTTATAACGCGTGTACATAAGTACACACTCTTTTTTAAACACTTTCAGTTTACTTAGGTTTATATTCGTATCGGTACAGCAACCGTGATCAAGAAGACGAAACAATACATAAAGATAGAATTTTATAAATATAAACTCGAAAACTTTAATTATCATTAAAGGTCTAGTTTTCAAAAATATTAATTTTTCTTTATTATCATATAAAGTTTTTTCTAATGTATTAAACCTATTTTAAACCATTTTTTTATTTTCTAAACATTTTCAGTGTTACCTAGGTATAATATAAATGCTATATATTTGAACAATAAGTTAAAAAGACAGCGATAAATTGTATATTAATTATGTTTCTTTAAAAATAACGTTATTTAGGTAATAATCAAGAGGACTTAAAGAAATATCACACTAATGTTATTCCCATACAGAACCAACAACGTAAAAACTCTTAACAAACAATAATTATAACAAATATTTAAAATTTTATCATTTACCAAAAACATATATATATAAACCAAAAACCATGTAACAATTTTACCCACCTTGAGATAAAAAATAAGGAGTTTCCACAGCTTTAAATGTGTTTGGCGTATGCAGATACGCGCCCAGAGCTCCCATCACTTGCAAGTACGACCCATCCCTAGCCACTGGCCGGACTTCATTGGCAACTGGGTAATACTTTGGCTCGTAATCGAACCTTCTAGATTCAGGTTGCTTGAAAGTATTCCTGCCTCTATATAGAATATCTTCGATGAGGAACGAAGTCTTCTGTTCCTTATTCGGCGAATCGCTTCGTATGTCTTGATTCATTTTTTTTACATAATAATTATTTTGATGCCACTCGCGTCTTGTTCGTGCGAAAGCCAAAATCAACTGCCATCGAGGGTTGGACGATCGAGGGTAGGGGTGAAACCGCCCCTTTCTGAGAAACAGATTTCTGTACCTTTTTTTTTTGTTTAAGCTGTTTTTATTATATTTTAATTTGGTAATACAAAGTTTTATATAGTATAGTAATATAATTTTAAATTTTACATACACGTATGTATATAATTTAATTAATCTAAATTTATAATTTAGATATATAAAAAGATATTCTTAAACGTTTCCAATCAAATAATTATTTTTAACATATATTTATAATTTTTGTCAGATATACGTATATTACGTATTTTTAACTAAAATCTATTCGATTTAAATATCAAATTTAACAAAAAAAACAAGTAAAATCTGTACAGACATACCAACATTTTACACGTTAAGATTAGATCATCGTACTTCTATAAAGACGAGACGATTTTGATACTTGATTTATATTAATTTATCAATACAAATAATAATAAAAGAATATTTAAACTTACGCCTTTAATACATACATAGAAAACAACAAAATTTCAATTTCAATATATCGATATATAAAATGGAAGAAATATTTTGATATATTACATAAAATATACATTTTAAATTACAATAAATTATTTCTATAAGATAAAAACTAAAAAACAATTTTCCCAGAACATTTTAATGAAGTATTTTAATCAAAGTATCAAGATTATTTTATTTTTAATCCCCAAACGTACCCCTCAACCCTCGCCCTTATCTGCGAGGCGTGGTCTTCATATCCACCAATCAAAACCTCGTCTCCAGAACTGCTCAATATTCTGACCAATCAGATCACAGCAATTATGGATGAACAGCAGTAATGTTTGGGGTTTAAAGATGGGGAGTTAGCTTATACTAGCCACGTTATAAAGGATTTTCCCTTTTAAATGTTACACAATCCATAATTAATATATATAAATATAATTTCGATTGCATACAAAACATTTATTTATAAAAGAAAGTCGTGTTAGTTACACTATTTATAACTCTAACGACTGTACGGGTTTGAATGAAAATTGGTGGAGAGATAGATTAGAACAAGGAGACGGACATAGGATATTTAATTCAGTTCGATCGAAAAAGAAAAATACTTAATAAACTCCAATACCTATCTGGTTTACGGCCTCTAAAGCAGAATAGAGTTCGCCCGGTCAGCTATACATTACATTGAAAGTAAACCAGACGAAATCGCGGGCGAAAGCTAGTATAAGCATAAATAATGTAGATAATACTAATAATAATTATTGTCGTAAATATTATTATTAGAATTTATATATTTTAAGTCTTTAAAATCCAAACGCAAATGATAAGAACTTTGTCAGAGATAACAATTTTTTCATTTGAAATGGACTCGTAAAATGTTGCTTTTAATATGAATAAATGAAAAATAATTTATAAATTCGAAAAGAGACATCACAATACTTAATATTTAGTAATTTTTTTTATAAATAAATAAAATTAAATAAATAAAATAAATAAAAAGACGAACATTTTACAAGACATTGAAATGTGGCTCATTATCGAATTATAAGAATAGACAGAAAAACCTTATTATTCTTGTGTTTATTAGAGTATTTCAAATCGACTTATTTTACCTCATATACGAAAAAAAATTAATAACAGTCTTCGCTAAATACAAAATTATTAAATTTTTAATAAATAAAACCCTTTATAAGCTCTACTGTTTCAATTATGTCTGTTTTCTTGGAAATACACTAATTTTTTAAATACCAAACGTATGTACCTCTGTGTAATTATTTCAATTTTCTATATATATACTATTTTGTCTGTTTGTACCTACATCAGTTATTTAATAAATGGCTTGGTTCCAACCATATTTCGACGTAAATCGAATGGTATACCTACATATTATACTTATTACTGCAAAAACAATATTATATATACATAATATATATTGTGTACATAAACATGAATATATGCCCATAAAATTTTACTTATTGTGCCTAGAAAATGTATATATTTCAAGAATGTGATTATGAAGAACCTTCGAGAAATACAAGAACATTAAGAACAATTGAAGTTTCATTTTAAAATATCATGGAACGTACTGGAAGAAATTACATTAGTGAAGACATAGAAGCTCACGTATAGTTTTTATTTCTAGTTCTTTCATATTTTTAGCATAAATTGATTTTCATGCTGTCAAAGTAATTCTTATAAAATCTTTTCAATATTATCAATTCACTGTCTTGTAATTATTTTCTTTATTCGTTATTGAAATTACTAAAAATAGATCGAAAATAAAAAATGGTAGGTATATAGAAAACACGCGACTTTACGTGACTTAAATTCAAATTAAAATGTCAAAAGTAATGTTTTTTAATTAAAATTCAAATTAAATTTTGACAATAAAAATCTGAAAATTAATTCACGCTTTGGGATTCAAACCTGCATTAAAACAACATTTAAATTAAAACAACTTAATAGGACAGTAATTCTTTAATAAATACTATCAACGTTTACGAAAGAAAAATTAAAAACGCAGAGTATTCAGTTTAAAGTTAAAACAAGTTCTAAGGATACATACTCTCAAATAATAATATCTCAAACAAACACTTGTAATTAAAAACTAAATGAACATAGCCGGGGCGACATCGTTGTATGTATAAAATATATAACGAGTGACGCCGCTGACTCCGCGGAACGAACACCAAGCGTGTGAACCAGAAGATTCCTGATACACACAAGCTATGGAATGGCATTGCTATCCTAACATCGGGTCAATCATGTAGTCTTAGGTGTAGGTTGTAAGTTTTAATATGTAATTCTCATTATAATATACATATAAATATGTTTTGTAGTTATCCTTGAACCTCCGGTTGCCACAATGTAGGGGAGAGTTGGTTATATCGTACTAGTATTTAAATCGTACCACTTCTAAATTTCCCATTTAATGAATATTTTTTTCTACTCTGACAATGCCAAATCGTGGCCCTGCACCATCCCTCTTCACCCACTAGTTTAAATCCACGTGAGTTAACAACTGTCCACGTAATAAAAGAAAAACATTTTTTGTAGGCATTAATAGAAATATTGTCGTACATTCGTAAGGAGATAACTCGTTATCAAGGTAAGCTATAGTTATTCAGTTTTTTTTTATTATTTCAGAATTGTAAACTAGATTATTGGGGGTTTTTGTTGAGTGTCTAAGTTTTGAGTTTATGCCGGATATTTGCTTTTGTTTTAGAAATGCCTTAGTTGGTTTAATCGTACCACTTGCAGTTGGTTAAATTGTACTGGTACGATTTACCCGACTACCAACCGCAAGTACCTATAGTACTACCGCAAGTACGTATAGTAAGTACTACCCAAGACCAAAAACAAAAGTTATAAGAGGAAACGATCTCATTCCATCACCAGTAGCGATGATTCAGGAGAGACACTTGTTGTAGAACTAGATGATGATGATGACAGCGATGATTATCTTGAAAATATATGTCGAAAGTGCAATTGTTCTTACTACGATAAGAAAGGTCCAAAAGTTGATTGGATTCAATGCGTTCGCTGTTAACGGTGGCTACATGAGATGTACTTCGAATCCAGACATTTGTCATGATTGTTTCCATTAAGAAATATGCACAATAATTATATTACAAATAACATTCTTGTTAACTGTTACTTTATTATAATAGTTTACTGTTTTTTTTTTTGTCTCATTTTATTAGTTATGTTGATTGACCTCATTATCATAGTATAATCATGTTATTTTACTGAGAAAGCTTTTAGTTCCTTTATATAACCTAAGAGTTAAAAATTATGTTTCTATTATCTAAAAGATATAAATAATGTTGTTTTATTACTTACCTAACAGTTAAAAATAAATAATTTGATTGAGAATTTTAATGTCTTTCATTCAGTGGTACGACTTACCAACCCATGGTACGATTTAAAGACTTAGTGGTACGATTAAAACGACTAGTCGGCTAAATCGTACCGGTGACAAGCCTCTACAAAAAAGCATTTTTAACAATGTTAGAATAATCGCAAGGATCTGTTCTCTTCTTCTTAGGAAGCTAAAATATGAAACTTTATTTTACATATGTATTAACTATTATAAGACGTGTTATAGTCGAAATATTTGAGTTAAAGTGAAAAGTGGTACGATATATCCGACTCTCCCCTACTATTCTTATGTATATATAAAATTCTAGTCTCGCGGCATTAGACAGAGAACACCTCCGAAACGGCTGGACCGATTTTAATGAAATTTTGAGAGCATATTGAGTAGGTCTGAGAATCGGCCAACATCTATTTTTCATACCCCTAAGTCATAAGGGTTGTTCACCCTGATTTTTTTTCTGACGAATTTTTTTAGTTTTCATTTTTTTATAATGTATCATTAAAAAATACATACAACCCAAAAATTTTTACTTTTTTAAACACCAATCCCTATTTTTATATGACAAAACAATATTGGCTAGTTAATTATCAGAAATATATCTAAAATTTTGCATAATTGTCACGCAAATATAATATTTATGGAGTAAGTACCTACATGTTATACTACACTAGACTGTTTCCCATGACTTTCCTCGTAATATGGCACTAATTGGCCCTCGTCGACCAGATTGCTGATAGGTCACGAACTGTTTTGACGTTGTAAAACACGAGTGATGTCACAGGATGTCACTAGATGATTTGATAAGGCGTACATTACTAGTTAATAACCGCGGTTTTGTCTGCGTTTTCATAATTTTTATATTAGAATAAAATTGACAGCGTAATCATTATATGAAGAGTTTTTTGTAAGCTTAATAACTTTATGGTTAACTATAGGTAAGAAAATTTAAATTAAATTTGGCTAGAGCTTTCTTAAAAGTAATTATAACTTTCATTTATATTTAATTATCTCCTGTGAGTATTAAATAAATCTAGTTTACGAGATCACACTCAAAAAATAGACGATCATA